GTTCACCAAGGATGGGATCCTCTTCGCTGCCATTCACCCTGGCTGGGTCCGCACGGACATGGGGGGTCCCAATGTGAGTGATTTGCCAATAGATGGTTTGTGGTGGGGGGATGGAGGGTCTAAATATCACATTTCCAGTTTATATGAGTGATACTTTACAGCCAAACAAAAATCGTTCTGGTCTACAATGGTAAAGCCTGCATTGATGTTTTTCTACCACTAGGGGGAAATCGACGTAGTAGAGAGTGTGCAGGGACTCCTGAAGGTGATGGGCTCCCTCACGGAGAAGGAGAATGGAGCCTTCCTGGATTACCATGGCAAGCCCCTGCCTTGGTGAACGCAGGAGCCCCCAACAGGATCTGAATAAAGGTGGATGTGAATAATAATGCGATTCTGTTTTGTGATTGACGTGACGTATGACAGCAGTCCCTATTGCCTTGACAGAAATGGCAGCTTTTCAATTAGTTTCAGCTTCTCAAACATTTAATCCATCCATTTCCAACTACTTATTCCGCAGGAGCGATCATAAATTCTTTTTTCAAGTGGTGGGGACCATAATTCATGCAGGGGAGCCTAAGTTATCATCAGTCAATGATATATTTTGAATGGGTGAGTGACAGGGCAGGGAGCACTCCATGGGCCAATCAGCTGGGACCAGTGCCTCTGTGGCCCCGCCCCTGTATTCATCCCTGTTATCCAGTATGAGAAGATATCATTTCACTAACAGTATGTGTGTTTGTTGCTGGAGGAAAGCAAGGCAAGAGGGGGGAACCATCCCTACTCCAGACACAGATGACGGGGTGGGATTTGAGGTATGAGGGGGCAATGCTAACTGATAAAAACAGCCACTGCTGGAATATAGCGAGAGAGGTAAGGAGCGCATGCTGATTACAGTGCGTTGCCGCACCCACCACTCGACAACCCACCTCAGGGATGAGAGCCTGAGAGCAGCCATGCGATGGGTGATACCTCAGCACCACACTAGTCCGAGTGGAACAGAGTGAGTTTTTTCCAGTGGCTGGAGTGCCAGTCCTGCCATCAACCCTCAAATTAGTGTGCTGGAAAATACTGAGTAGGTCTTTGTTTTTTAACTTGAAATATTTTTAACTTGCTCAGTCGTGACACTGGTCAACCCTCCTATGCAGTATGTTACAATCGAGGAACCAAGCGACAAAACTCGCAAATTAAACCAAAAAACATATGTCAGCAAAGATTATGATGATAGAGTAAAGCTTACTGTTGAGTTATAAACCAGGGCCGCCATAAACAGAGTGGACACCCTGAATAACTCGGGGAGTTCACATAAACAGAGTGGACACCCTGAATAACTCGGGGAGTTTCACATAAACAGAGTGGACACCCTGAATAACTCGGGGACTTCACATAAACAGAGTGGACACCCTGAATAACTCGGGGAGTTTCACATAGTAGATGTGACCCTGGGGCCTCCTTTATAAAATGGTCACTGAACTTTCACTGAAAATTAAACAATCTATTAAACTCGAAACTCAATTATAATAACTTTATTTGCAATGTTTAAAAAATGGCAATGGCAAAAGATACATAGGAAACGATAAAATGTCAATCTGCGTTACCTC